TACTTGATCAAATGCTTAGTGAGTCGTGTCAGAAACTGGTAAGGCTGATCTTTATCCACAAATTGTTTGGGGTGAGCTACATCCTTACTGCAGTCAATAGTAAGACTGGTATTGACCCAATTCTTGTCACCAATCTTAGCATGTTAGAATATCAAGTGATTGACTTGTTCTTTTACTTTGTGGACAATGTCTCTACGTTCAAGTTATAAATCTGGGCTGCATCTTTAACTCTAGAACAAGTTTCCTCATTGCATCCCACACTTCTTTGGCTGTAGGAATGGACAAAATTATTTTACTTATCTCTGGCAACGGAGAGTTCCACAATCATGCCATGATCATCGAATCTTCCTCATCCTACATGTCAAAAAACAGATAACCTAGTTTTGGTCCAGTGCCTAAGAGGTGACGGAGCTTTCATTTTCCCTTAAGAGTAATGCGAATTAATTGTGACCAACTCAAGTAGTCCTTCTCGATAGAACAATAAAGAACCTAAATTAGCTGAATTTCGCTATTGTTTAAGGTAGAGTTTCCCGTGTGGGAATTCATTCCTATAGTTTGAGATGCAACTTCCAACATGTTTTACGAGTTGTAGAACAATTAGAGCCACATAAAAGGTTAAGGAAAGATGCTACCAATATATAGCACTATTGTGTGTTCTTAACAGAACCACCACCAGGAGTCGTTAAGTAGGAAGGCAGCGGCACAGGACTTGGCAGCCTGGATAGAGGTGTGCATTGTAAGACAATCTAGGTACGTGGTTGCTGCTTGGTTAGCCAGATAGGAGCGCAAGATAGAGAGTTTGGTAGGCGCACGGTGCTGGTAGTTGGATGGAGAGACGGGCACATGTCAAAGGGGTCTGGATGCACAACTGGTGCAGGTGTGTGGTTCTTGCAGCTGGACAAACGCACAAGGGACTGGCAGCTGTGCAGTGCAGACAAAACATGGAGATGCAGATGGAGGAACCAGGACAGGTGGCTGAGGCACGGCTAAGCTGGTGGACCGATAACGAAGGCTGGTTTTTGTGGCTGGTTATTGGTATGTGGTGGCCAACTGTTTTGGTGAAGGAGGGAGACAGCAATGAAGGTTGCCTTCTAGAGTTTCATTATTTCGGCAATGAACACTGAGTAGACTTTGTAAAGAGTTTAGAGTTTCTTAATCTATACTGTAATACCATGTCAAGAATAGTTAATGCATTTTTTTTATTGAATATCACAGTCTTATATATACAAATTTTCTAGAATAGAAAAGGAAATAATTTATGAATCACATTAATTAGATAGAGTGTATTTTATCCTAATACCCTTTGACTCAGTTACATACTCTCTTTAACAAATAGCTAGGGAAAAAATAACTTACAGAATTTTTAAATTTGGAATCTGAGATAAAGTAGATGGAATTGGTCCAATCAACTGATTGTTTTTCAGAATCCTGGGAAGCAAAATGAATGGAGTACAAAAGTTTGCAATGAATCATCTGAAGCGGCTATTTGAGCAAACAAATACAGATAGATGTGCTTGACTTACAGATATTCCAGTTCTTTCAACTTTGAAATGGAGAATGGGATATCTCCATATAGCTCATTAAATGACAAGTCCCTAACAACATAAATAACTTAACGTTAAACCAGACTGATAAACATTAAACAGCATAGAGGTACTTTGAAGGAGAAAGCATGGCAGTAAAGTTGAGGGTTTTGGAGAACTTAAAAGCTTCTTACAAGCTTTGCAAGGAAGAACAGTCCCCAATCTCGTCTGGAATCTGCCCAGATAGAAGATTTCCCCTGAGATCACTGACAAAAAACAAGTATGAATAATCAGAATTAAGTGAAATATGTCCACATTATCCGCTATAAGCTCTGGCTCCATTTTTTTTACAGCTGAAGAAATTTCTTCCATTTTTTCACCAAAATAATCAGCAGCATAGGTGAATAAAAATAGAAATATATACAACAAAAAGGGTAAAACTTGGAAGTTTACATAGAGATCAGGCTTTTGAGATCTCCAATGGCAGGTGAGATTTCCCCATCAAGATTTAGACCTGAGAGATTACTACAAGAAGAGAAAACAAAATAAACAGGAAGAAAGATCATCAACTTGGAAACGACAACCTACAGAACTATAGAGCGGAATCAAGAATGATAACTATGAGTCCATGAAACAGAAGATGTCTTACAGTGCAATGACATTGAAGGTGACATTATCACAAGTGACGCCCCTCCAAACACAATAATCTGATGATGGCGTGTCCGTCCACTCATATAAAACGTTGTCCACATCCTTAAACGACTTCTTTACCTCCAATAATGTTGCTCCTTCAATATGTTATCATGTACATATAAAACTACCGTGTTAGTCCCTGTATATATGATGAAGCTATCCTCCATTAAAGATGAAGCTTTAAACCAAACTTTTCTTTTTTTAACTAAAAACTCAACACCCACTGGATGAAAGTCCTAACTATAAAAATTGAACACAAAAACCTCCAAAGAAAATGATATAACAGAGTATATGGGATCAACAAAGATATAATTAGAGTTTAAGCAAGAGGAACCCTTCAAAGAAAGTGATGGATATTTAATTGTTTTTTAGAAGAGAAAGACTCCCAGTGTTGTCATATCAAGAGATCATTAGCATGACAAGTAAGAGTTTTTCTTTTCCTGGAAATCAAAAAAAAAAAAAAAACGGAGCGCGCGAATGAGGTGCCATAAAAGTTTTTTTTTTTTTTTGGAGGAAAGCAAGCGAAAAAAGATGATGCTTCCTGAAGAAAAGCAAGTAAAACTGTGGTGGTTTACATTGTTTTTCTCTTCACTCATGTTTCCAAGAAGACCAAGACTCACCGTCGTCGGATTCCATGGAGCCAAGACTGAAAGAGAGAAGCAGGAGAAAAAGGAAGAAGTGAAAAGATAATGCCATAAGTGGAATTGCAAGAGTTCCCAGCCAGAACCTCACATGTCAAAGAAGCCACTGAAAATAACCAGGATTGTGAAAACAAGTGAGAATATAGAGAGAGGTGGTTGAGTTGCAGAGAAGAACCAGTCAATAGAGAGTTGAGAAAAAAGAAAATATATTTGTTGGTGTTTATTTTGATAAAGAAGGAGAAGAAGATTAGCCAGGTCTGGTATAGTTGGTTCAATCACATCGTTCTGGGTCGAAAGACAGAGAAGAAGGGAGAGAGAGAATTATTGAGGAGGCAAAAGTTAAAAACCTGTATGTGGCAGAAGTCTGCAACTCTACAACTCACCCTCCTTTCAATTTTCAGTCTTTAATGGGTCCTTTTCTCTTTGGTTTTGTTGCAGAGTTGACAGGTTTCCCTCTCTCCTCTTCCATATCCAGAATGCCCATCGCCCCATTTTCATTTTTATGTTCTCTTTCTTTTATTTTTTTAAAAATTATAATATATATATATATATCAAACTAATAATTTAAATATTTCTTTTGTTAATTTTGGATTCTAACTTCTAATCATTCCATGTTTTATTTGAACTTTCTTTCTCTTTTTAACTGTTTCTCCTGCCGAATCACTTCCAATCTTTCTCTCTTTTTTTTTTTTCTCTCTCTCTGTTTTCATGCAGCTGATTTTTACCATAATTTTTTAATCCACAAACACTTTATTTTATAAAATAAATTATTTTAAAATTTAAAATTCTTAAGAACTTCCATCACCATCTAAATTTGTTGAATAAAAATGCAAGATATGTAGTTCAATAATTTTATTTTTTCTGTTTATATATATATATATATATTTAAAATTAATTATAAATAATTATTTTTAAAGAAAGAAACAATATCCTCCATTTTTTTTTAACTAAAATTGACAAGAAAACATAGCAGCATTATTTTCCAATTAAGTAAACATATTAAATTAAATCATGATTACTTTTCTTCTCATACAAAATTGTCTTTAATTCTAATGTTCTTTGTATTTTGTTTGATTCTTCAAAAAAAAAAAAAAAAAAAAAGCGAAAATTGGGAGAGCAAATATGTAAGTAAATTTTAACACCAATTGTCCTCTCCTCAATATAAATATTTCTGAAATTAAATTATTCATTAAATAACAATCCGCCCAATCCAAGAGATGTTACTCTACATTCATAACTTCATTCTAAATAATAATCTCATAGCCTCAATTTAATTGGAACAACATGCTTCCCTACCATTAGTTTTTTTTTTTTTTTTTAAATAAATTATTCTATTTTTTACCCTTTTTTTTTTTACAAATAAATCCCTCTATTGGGATCTTTCTGACTATCTGGATTGCTAAATCTATATCCATTCTTAGCATGTATTTTTTTAAAATGTTAATGGGATTTCTTCATTTAAGTTTAAACGTGAGATTAATTAATTTTTTTGGTTATACAATATTCTTTTCCAAAATTAATAGACATGACATGACTTTTGTACTCTTAATATACTACGTCCCTACACAAATTTATTGCCCATAGTCCTGCATTTTATGTATGTGCAATCAAACTTATGA